GAGAACTTTTAACAATAAGTTAATTCAGACGGATATATGTAAGAACATAAACCAATAAAGATTACCCATTGACATCAAATGCGATCAATGACAATATTTTTTGTTTTATTTCAGTGCAATAGTGAATTTGGTCGATGCGGTTAATTAAGTTATACATAGAAATCTGGGGTATCTGTCAGCAGAAATTCGCGACATCTTCAGGCGAAACTCATCACTTTTTTTGTCCAGTCAAGAAAAAAAAACTGGAAGGTCGTTATGAGAACAGGTCAAGGAATGAGCTGTTTGTGAAGCACAGACTCAGCTAGATGCTTCCTCGTCGCCCGAAAAACTAAAAAAAAAAACTCTCATACAAGAAGCGATTACAAGAAATGAAAGCAAAGAACGAAGATCGAGCTACTTCCTGGCAGTACGGTTCCTTTTTAACTTGAGGCCTAAGCTAATTCTATTCTAAGCTATTAAAAATACGTTACTTTTGATTCATCAATTGATTTGTAAGAGATATAATGCACATTTGATTGAAAATTTTAAGCCAAAGTTCATTATTCGAAAAGTTCCTTATTTACGCACTTTTATGGAATATTTAAACTAGGAAATAAATACACAAAATTGTACAATTTTCACATTTATTCGTCCCGGGGTAACTGGCTTGTGATGCATTCTAAGAGGAAATTCACTACCTATAAGAGGTAATCACTTCCCAGCGTATGTACGTCCAAGAAATATACGAGTATATTCTATGATTACAGTAACTGTATTCACGAACTTGTGTTTACAGAAATAAGAAAAAAATCAGTCACAACTGTACCAGGCTTTCCAATTTAAGCGATACCAACAATACAGGCAAAGGAAATTCGCTTTTTGTTGAGTGTAGGACCATGAAAAAACTGCGCAACGAAAGCATGAAATTTTAAATGATTTTTGTACTCATAATAGCCACTGCAGCTGTAGCATCGTGGCTTTCTTATCCGTCGCATATGTACGATCAGAGAATGAAAATAATATAAAATCGCAATAAACTTTACATTTTAGTAAAACTATTAATCTATTCCCAATTACAAGCCAATGCATTCATGTATACTATTCGGTTTCCGTTGAAAAAAAGTAACTAATGTAAGGTACCTACTATGAATAAATTTACTTAAAAATAATCGACGACGAAAAACTTCACTAATTCTCCATGATTTGTGACATTTAAACCGGCACCAATAGAAAGTGCTAGTGGCACATTTTTCGTCGCAACAAATAATAAATTGTGCTTAAATGGAGCCTGATGAAGTATTCGCGCGCAGTGACGTTCACAAAAGATTATGCAAATGAAGAGCGCCAGTAAACGATGCAAAAGAAAATTTTGAGATCAATCTGATAAGTAATGACCCATCAAGCAAATGAAAACCAAACAAAGCTTAATTACCATTTATTCAATGAAAAAACGTTCACTTAAACTCTGATTTAACGTTATATGTCTGATGAAAAAGTGGCAGAATTTCATGGTGGACAATCATGAACGGTATATACTAAAGATGGCACTACGGGTAACAGTCCTCGCTCTTAGATAGTGCGGTACAAATCTAATGATTGGTGGTGGAATAAAATGCAATTGACGTCGAAACAACGTTAATTATGAATTGAGTTCGTTGAAACAACGTTTATTCGACGTTGTTTTAACTAAATATACTTGTAAATATATTCGACGTTATTTTAACACAAATACTCTTAGTTTTTCTGCAGAATTAAGCAAGCGTGCTTCAGGGCTGGGTATCACTGACGCTTCCACGAAGAATCACATTCTAACAATTATGAATTGTACTAAAATTTTCAAACATACTAACAAAAGCAAAACAGAAAAATATTTTCAAACTGGATTTAACGTTCTTAAGTGCCCTGAACTGATCAAATCAGAACAAATCTACATGATATCCGCATAATTATTTCGAACTCAGAATCCGTCGGGTTAACAGAATTACGTTACAGAAGAAAAAAAAATATATGTTTACCAAAATAATTTAAAATCATCAGAGCTCATCGATAGTATTCTCAAAGGTCCTCCACTAATAAGCCATGATCAACCATAGTATTTAAAGTTCACAATCAAAATTTGGTTAAAAAATAAAATAATATACGTTTAAAAATTACTTTTTAAAGACAACACTTCTAAAGAATCCAGTGTCTCCAATGTTAAAGATATACAATGAATATCTCATTTTATTTTCGAGTATTGAAAAAATGAATTTTTCATTTTATTTTAATATATAGATTTTTTTGCAAAATTATTTTTTCTGTCAATTGATTCATGCATTGCCTCCAACTTCACACAAGTGTGCAAAATTTCAGATCAATTGGAGAGGTAAAAGTGTCCTATATCAGTTATAAGATTGGGAGCTGACAAATTATTTTTTCAATTTTTTAATATTGCAAAAAAAAAATAATTTTTAAAATCATTTATTTTGTCATTTGATTCTTGCATTGTCTCCAACTTTACGCAAGTGTGCAAAATTTCAGATCGATTGTTGAAGCACTAGTGCACTAGTTTGTTATAAGTTAACTTTGCCGTTTGCTTGCATCGGGTCTTTGCTTGCCGTTTGCTTGCATCGGGTCTTTGCTTGCCGTTACGGGTCTTTGCTTGCTTGCCGTCATCGAGTTACAGTTCTTTATGGCAGAACTGTTGATGTTTCTCAACGGAGATTTGCAAGCGCTTTGCATTGTTTGCAGGAAGGAAATGCAACAGTATAAGAGTGAGGCCATCGTTAAGTCTGTTATCAAAGACAGGGATAAATGGAGTGATGGTATGAAAAATAGGCGATTAGTAGTAAATTCATAGGGGATAAAAGAATATATAGAAATTGCATTGTTATAAATAGTACGGTTCTATAGTTATAAATAGTACGGTTTACAGCAGTTTTGCAGAACTTGGAACGCTCAGTCATAAAATAAACTGGATCTGTGACGACACGTTTTTCCAACGTCAGCTGGAATTTTGACACCGCGTGCCTTTGCGAATCGTAAAGGGTATATCGTAAAGGATATATCGTAATCGAATCGTAAAGGATATATCGTAAAGGATATATCGTAATCGAATCGTAAAGGATATATAACTTTAAGCCTATTTTTCGAGGTCACAATAATGTCCGACGTCAACCTCTACGTTGATGGCGGCTGTATCATGGAAAGCACCACCTACACGGCAGCGCTGGTGGAGGGAGTAGCAAGTGTGTCATCGAAGATATCGAGGCCGCATGTTATTACACTCCATGTCAGATATTATACATTCTTGTCGTAAAACTCAAATTAAATTATCACCGCCCTAGATTTGTTTAAAGGAACGGTAACAATTTGACGACTAAAAATATAAAATAAAATTGAGAGTAATGTGCTCCATCCTCGATGTAATTGAATGTAAAACCTTGCTGACCAGACGGATTTATTATCATTGGAACATTACTTAATCACTGCTCCCCTCTGAATTACTCATTGTATTCGTCCTCCTAAAAATTTCTTTATACCCAAGGTTGTAAAATGAAATTGAATTTCTTTAGAGAGTTATTTTTTCAAACCTCAGGCAGTAATTATATGTGATCTTGCCGTTAAAAGTTTAGTCTTTTATTGAAATCTTCGCGACAAACCGACGAATAGCCATTTTACATTGTAGCTTCAAGAGCGAAAATTTAAACTAATATTTTTAATCGAATTATTCCCAGCTTAAAATTTAGTTTTTTGTACATAATTTCAAACATGATAAAATGATTCTGGTACTATAACATTTGGGCATTCGATTCCCATAATTTGACTAATGATTCCCAAAAAGTTTATGTACATATACGAGACGATTCGAAAAAAATGTTAAATTATATGTTATTCATATGTATAACTCAAATTAATTATGATTCAAATGAATTAAATTGAGTATTCAAACTTTTCATTCTCACCCAATTATTTTATATGGTGACGCTAATTACATCAGCGACAAGGAAAAAACCTTCGTCTTATCATGTAACAAAAATTGCAACTCTGGAAGGCTATGGCTCAAGGTTAACTTAATTCAAAATAGCTAGTCGAGTCCAATGAATACGTTAAATTCACGGCCATGAAATCCAGCCTGCAGGAGCAAGATGCTGCGTGCACGTAACAACCACCACATGCAGGGTGCAGGTATTAGACCATATGGCGGTTGTCCTGTACCATCTTCAATAACGGGACACATTCGGGTGTAAGCCTCCGCGTGTTGGTGCACCCATGCAAGACAACAGCCGAGCATCTACATCATCAGCAGAATATGGGCAATAACAGCAAATAAATTGTAAGAAAAACTGATAAGCACCATAAAGCGAACGGAAGTAGTAGCGTGAATAATAAGCAAAAGCACATATGTAAATATACAAGCAGTAAAGAAAAATATGGAAGCATTCACGTTATCTGAATCTAGCTAACTACAAATGAAAAAAGTTTCTACCAATTCGCGGCAAAATTTGATGGTTTCTGCACATTGAGTTCCAAGTCGAAAAAGTGGCATTGAGAAGTGAAAAGCTCCTCTAAAGCGTGCCTAAGTATTCTTAACTATAGGGGTACACGATTGAAATGTTTTTAAAACAATGATTTAGTGAATGAACACGCTACGTTGATCTTAAGTGTGCAGTCTCAGGAAAACTGTTAGCAATGTTTCAATGTAACACAATCGCAAGTTCACTAATAATTAAAAACGAATATTTCTAAATTCGCCATGTCTTCCCTGGAAGCTTTCCGCTAAATAGCTCCATCATCAGTTAAAAAATTAGAGAATCTATAGAGAAATCCATACTTGCATGAAAGCGATTCAAACATAAGTAACGAATAACCGACTTAATTTTTCCCCAATTTAAATTGCAACTTAACTTAGCATAATAGAAAGCATCATTCATACATCACATTGACTTAGAAATAAGATAATTTACTCCTTATACATTAATACATTAAAAAAACCCAACAAACATCGTGACAGTTCCATCCACGACTATTTGATTACTCACCGAAGTTTCTGTTCCATCAGGAAGCACAACATTTACTTCAAAGACGCGCGATAACCTAAGTTTAGGAAGCATGTCTCTGAAAGAATCACGGAAAGCAGCCCTGCTGCGACCAGCACTTCGTCCAATTGTTATGCCACCACCTATAAGAAACGCCGATTGTTTCAATCCATAGTCTTTACGGCGTTCTTCAGATTTGCCAAATCTATCACGAACTTCCTTCTCCCCCTTCAAATTGAAACTTCCACCAAAAAGATCTCGCATCGAGGATGACAGCTGTCGTTTAAAGCCTCTTGTAGAACCGCTGAACGAACTTGAATCATCTTTTGGAGAGGTGGGCGGAGAGTACGAGCTTCCCGAGCCAAACAAATCTCTCGTGGAAGCAGACAGCTTCTTCCGGAGTCCACTTCCAAATCTAGTCAGTCGGCTAAATTTTTCAGCTTGCTCCTCTCCGGAAACTGACATTCGTCTCTTTACGACCCGAGGAGGATTGGAGCCATTCTTGCCCTTCTTCGTGGATTTTAGGTTCAAATTAATGACATGCATAGGGTTCTGGACACACGGTACGTCTTCGCCAGCTGGGGAGGAACATATTGCCTCACGCGAATCCAAAGTGGGAAGAGGGGGAAGAGGCACTTGAGAAGTTTTACGCTTAAGTTCTTTCGGGTTAGTTTGCGTGCACATATTTGATTTAGGTTCGGGTGAAGCAGCAACTACACAAATATCTTCCTTCGCGCAAGATATGCTAATATCGGCCAGGCTCTCCTTCACTTTCTTATGCGAAACTTTGTTTTGACGAGCCGGTATTTGGTCATATAGATCATCATGGGCAATGTTATTCTGAGCAGCATCTACCCGCTTCCTGACCATGGCGTATCCATCTTCAGCATTCATTCCATCCAAATCTTCGTTTTTGCATGAAATGGCAGAACAATTCTCAATTTTTTCAGTACCCGAGATTTCTTTGCGTTTTTTGGCAAACTTTGCCAAGAAAGTGTCTCCATTCCGGGAAAATTTCTCCATACCTTCTTCACTGTGACATTCTGGAAGTGGTTTATCTTGTACAACGTTGGCTTTGATGTTTCCCAGGTGTTGATCTTCTATAACTTTAGCTCCAATGTTTTCTTCCAGGAGGCTTTTTCCATTGAGTAACTTCTCAAAATTCTTGACACTCCTGCGGACGGAGCCGTTACCCAAGCCACCGGATGAAGATTTTCGGCCTCTGACACTCATGTTAAGATGTCCTCTTTTGAAATATTCCCTGTTGCTGATGGTATCAGAACTCGCCTTTTCATCGGACAGTTTATTGAGTTTATTGAAACGTGTACCGACAACCTGAACCACAGCTTCTGTGCGCTCAGTTTTCTTGGCATATAGAGGAGTGGGTAAGTGTATGACCGACTCCATAACTGCTCAAAATTCGATCTGGTTTACCAAAATTCTCATCTACGGGCACTCAAATATAGACAATCTTGAAACCATGTCGGTTTAAAACACCGGGCAACACTTAAATTTAATAAATTTCACCGTCTTAAGTATTCATTAACACACCGTATTATGTATTCCTTATCACCATCACTTTAACTAAACAGTTCACTTCATACGCACTGATATCACTAACACACAATCACTTCACAATTATTCCATTTCTTATTCCGTAAATATTAGCAATGATCATCGATATCAAAATGAAGTCGAGGAACATGCGTCTCAGTGGCTTGAATCAGGAGCGCAGAACATCACATCCACCCTACTGCGCGCTGAGTGGCACACTGAAGTAAGTTCAGAATCAGAACTTCAGACACTTTGACTCGTACTCCGATCCATTAGCCAAAGAAAGCGGAATCAAAATAAAGAGGAAGTTGGAATCATGTTTACAGAAATTACAAAATCTTGCACTGTATTTGTCGTGGGCGCCGAGATAGCACATGATAGCCTGAATCTCATGCCATTCTATTCAAGACCAAAAATTGTCTGGTAAAAATTTTATCAACCAAAAACTTTGCGAGGGTTTTGCTTGAAAAAACATTTTAAGTGAAAAAATTGCAAGGAAAAAATCTTTTAGAACGCAACAGTTATTATCAAGTTAACCATTAATTATTAGGCTGTTCCACATGTCGGTGATTCGAAGCGAGAAGAAATGTTGTCGCGTGGAGAAGTTGCAGCGCAGTTTTTTTTAGCTTATAGCCGTGGCCCCTGGTGTTAGTGCTTGTTTCAAATTCTTAGTAATTCTTCGGGGACTTTGTATAAACCATGAGTATACTTGTATACTTCAATGAGGTCCCCACGCAGACATCGATAACTGAGTCTTGGAAGCTTCATAATATTTAATTTTTCTTCAGAGGACTTGCCCTTCAAGCATTTCAAATCTGCATTCATTTCAAATTCCAGGTTTACTTGGATCATGGTTTACTTGGAAATCGTGGTTTACTTGGATTTAATTTTGCCTATATTTGTTTGCCTTACGTCTCAATTTATAGTAGATAGCTAATGTTTTTGATGTTATACCTGCAGAAACTATTCACAAGATTCTTGTTAAGAATCGGCGACAGGCCTATGGCCTAATAAACGCTGAAACCGCTATATTTTATAATAAAACTTTTCTGAAATCTGAGTGTCGAAAATTCGCCCAAGCCTTGGGCTTATTGGCTTAACATATAGAATAACATGAATTTTTGGAACAGCAATAAAATATTGTAAAGGATGAATTGAAACCAAAATCATAACTTAGGCTAAAACCAAAATCCTATGCAGCAATAAATAGAACTACACGTGATTACCCATACAACCGATCTCTGAACTCACCGGCGGACGGGAGCAGGTTTAAACGCATGTTTTGTGCAAGTCACCAGCGTATAATTTGGTAAATTGTGAACCAATCCACAAGGAATTAAAACGCATAACTCAATTGTATGAATGCGGCAAAGCTCTTCCTTTCTGCCTCTGTCGACATGATTGAACAATCATTTCTTGATCTTCTCAATTCAGATGACAGTTATCACAGAAAAATATAACTCGGTACTCACTGCAGTGAGTGACAGCGCGCATTTTCTCGTCCGTCCGTCCGTGAAGTCACGGACGAACGGAGGGACGGACGGACATGACGAGCACCATAGCGCCTTTTTTTCATAAATGAGAAAATGCGCTAAAAAAGTGTTAAAATCTCGAGGCGAGATAAATGGCTTCATACAGGGCAACATTGTGGGTAGGTTTCATGATAATTCAAATAATTTTCACTCCTAAATATGAGTGACTAATATCTTTTGTCAAAATATATGATGATGCTGTGACCTTGTAGTACGATTCACGTCCAAGAACTCCGAGCCTAATCCAAAACAATTGTTGAGGTTCAGAATTCATCGGAAACATGTCAAAATTTGACTCTTATTGCGAGATAAATTAGCGAATATAACTACAGAGGATGATTACGTGCAAGATGAAGAAATGATATAAAGAAAACCGCGAAATAAGTTACTGTGATACTTATCGATGTCTATACTCGATTACACTCAAAGATATCTACAATACTTTCAGCCACATGATCTCTCATGAGACCGGATAGCCATAGAAAAAAATAAGTTTCAATTAAATCTGGACATTCGATAACCGTTCATGAATGAATTGTGCGTTCAGCTGAAAATAATATGTCATAAGGGTAAGTTTATCATCTCCCAGCCTGCCTGAACACGTGAGCAGCACTTTAAGGAAAAATAAGAGCTTAATTACAAATATAATAACGTACCTTAAATAACTATAAATTAACCTATGAACAATTTTATCGTGTGCTGGTACTGAGAAATAATCCTGCATATTAAAATGATGAATAATAAACTTCAGCTCCACACACGCGGTGGATCAAATCTAAAACGAACATCAACGAATATATAACAGAAAAACTAAAATACTACCTTAACCGCATCGAAAAATAAGTAAAGTATGGTTCGAGCATGAGAAAGAGAACAATTTCGCCATGAATCTATCACAAATTTCCCACTACTAACAAAAAAAGACAATAGTTGCCACCTACATATTTCTTTAAAATAAAAAGAATATTAATAATCTCTGCTGACACTTTGCCCGTTTATGCCAAGAAGAAGTAAATGATGAAAAGTCAATAACTGACCAGCCCAAAGCCAAGAGCGTGCAGTACAGTCGCCATGAAGAGCATGTACTGATATACATAAATAAAAGTGGCATACGACATCGAGTGTCACTGCATAGAAGAACAACAACTAAGACAACAACACATTTGAAGCTAATCTCTACGTACACGACTGCACATTTCTCAGGGAATGTTTCATTAGACGAAAAAATGCTTAAATCATAACGCCATAGCCAACATACATTCGTCGCTTCTGAAGAAGCTTCACAATTCAATCTCCACAATAAGTTTTCAGAAGATACCATTAATAAAATCAACCTAGAATTATTTATTAATAAATATGCAAATGATCTGTATATTTAAAACATTGGTTAATTTAATTATTCAACAGAAGCTGTGAACCATGTGCATCATTAATACTTCGATGGTTATCATATAGAAATTCTATAGATATCGTCAAGTGAGTAATAATTTGCATTCCTAAATATAACACAACAAAGTTATACATAATGGAAGCTCCGAATGAAATTTTTTGAAAAAGTATTTTTAGTAAAAAATACTAAAGAAATATTTCAGTGAAACAGACCCAAGATAATCAGAGCAAAATGCCGCGAAGGTGAGAGGTAACAGACAGACGACGCCAGCACGATACAAATACCAACGAAACAATCGAGTGCTTTCAACGAAATTATATCAATTTATTAATCATGTGCATAAGGGAGAATAAGAAGTTAGTGGTATAAGGAGGAAAAAGAAGTTAGTGGTATAAGGGAGAATAAGAAGTTAGTGGAAATAAGCGAGAAAATTCGCTAGACTCAAGGAATGGATTGCCCAGAGCAAACGAAGCACACATGTAGTGTACAGAAAGCACTGGCAGTTCATGGATGACACAAGAACCTTTACAAACAGTGCAGCAAAAAGTAATTAATTTTGTTACGGAGAGATAAGCGGCTATAAATAGTAGATAAAACCCTTACGCAGCAATGCGTAGATTAAGAACTTAATACTCATCCGCAGCTATTGGCTAAAGAAAGTGCAGGAACAGAAGCAGAAGTAAAGAAGCAGTTACATGGTTACAAAATCAACACTGGGAGTAAACAGCAACAAGCGAAATGAACCTCGCAGGATAGAAATAACGACAAACGGAACGCTCAATACTTGCACGTTTATCACAAGGAAGACGAAGATTGCACGTACGACAGGAGCGCTTAGGCGCTGAAACTTGGCATATCAGAAAACGCAGTTAATAGGCAAACAATAATCACAGAATTTAACGTTTTTTAAACCTCGATTAATTACCATATTTAGGAAACAAAAAGAAAATAAAATAATAATATTGATTAACTCAGGGCGCAAACTTTTGAACACGTAGGAGACAGTATTAAGTCTCATTTGCGCGCAGCCCGAAATAAGTGGACGTGAAATCACATTCATTTCGCTTGGAAAACTCATTTCGCAACTCTGGAACTACAATACTAGCTCAACGAATTATTTAAAAACAATAAGATTAAGAAGTAACTTGTTCAAAAGTGAGTTTATAATAATGAGTGTAAAAGCGAGAGTTGGCACAGCATGAACCCGCAACTCAAATACAGCAGTTGTGTCAAATTCTTGCGACAATATCACCGCAATACGAAAACTGAATAACAATCCCATAGGCCTAAACTGGTTAGTGAATGTGGGCAGAAAGGAAGCATCAATGAAGCTTTAGCAAAAAGCTTTCATATGCTAGTGAAACATGGCTTTTTCAGTGAACTATAGTCTCGGATCTGATGTCAAGAGATTTATTAAAATGTAAACATTAGTACTTCTTCTCTAACCGGTTAATAATAGAAGAACATAGTCTATTTTGTGGTTAACATCTACTAAAATAGGGAAAATGTAGCCAAAAAAGCATCGTATTTTGCAACGTGTTACAGGAATGCAAGCAAGAATAGTCACTTCACGGTTAGGTTTAATTTCAAGCTTCTGTTTCTTGTGTCTACTTGTGTTACAGATTTTCACTGCCCCTAACGAACCATAAGTGTAGGTAATTGAAAAAGAAAATCGATTTCACAATTAAAAAAATTTTTAGGCCAGTGGCTCGAGTTACATAAAATTTTTACTCAAAAATTGTAACCAAAGAGACAACAATGAGAGTTTCCACTAATAAATCTAAAGGAATCATCCACAAATCACAACAGCCAATTAAGAGAACATACAGCAAACAGAATGAGCCATTAATAACATTAATTGACGGAATACAGACTGGCACTGACACTAAGACGAATAATAATAAAACACAGATGTGAATAAAATGCACAAGATAAAAAAAACAGATGATGTTCGCTCGCGTGTAATACGGCAGTTTCGTTAGAAGCGAGGAGACTTAAATTGTTCCTTCGTTGATTAAATGAGATGTAAATTTGACACAAAGTTCTTAAATGTCTAATATTAAAAACATCTGTCGTAAGAAAATGAATGAGAATGCAATTGGAAGCATGAATCATAGACGATGCAGAGTCCCAATGCAACGGTAAAACACAATTAAGCAGATCGCACGATGACTCTTGTTAAGACCAAGGATCTCTTGTAGGTCGTAATTGAACGTGTAAATGTTATTCAAGCAGAGTTGTAATTTTTCATTACAGTTTTCAAGCGTGAAACTGCAGTGAGTTTCGAATATTAATAAAATCTTGCTTCAACTAGAGTTCCTGAATTCTCCAACATGTTTATACACAGCTTAGGAAAACTACCTACACAAATAGACCATATAAAAGACTTCAGAGAGGTCTAGGGTAGAGGCAGAGGGCACAATTATAGTTTATTGTCAGTGTCAGCTCACTTCATGCCACGTAGTCCACAACCACCGAGCAATAAACTGATTTATTATCCCCAGTTCTTACAGTTACGATACAACTTATGATGTGCGAGTCTAACGGGATAAATGCACTGAAGTTCAGTAAAATGCACTGACAATATCAACATTACAACGAGGGAAATGATGAGTTTAGGTCAAGAAGTAACAGATGTAGCAAAGCATTATGCTTTGTTGACTGATTTTAAGAACTAGTTCTCCATATCCAGAGAACTTTTTAATCAAATATATTCATGCAATTGAAACATTGGACTCCCAACTAACTCAGGAACGCTGTAACGTAGACATTATGTTAAAGTGCAACCATTTTTATAGGCAATGTGGTTCAACGCACTTCAGGTTAAACGAACACGCAGCACCGGGGAAAAATATTCGCGTGCTGAAGAGGCAAGTACAGTCATGAAAGTAAGAAAAGATTTAGAAAGTGTAGATATTCTAGAAACGGTATCACCTTTTGGATTTTTAAGTACGTTCATATACGGGCATCTAGTATAGTGGAGCTAAAAGCTATCGTTGACGCAAAAGGCAAAAATACACACGCAAACATTTATTGAGGCGGTGAATTTTTTCAAGTATCATTAGTTCAGAGCCAAGGTGAGACCTAAGTAGACGATGCAACGAGGGACATACTACTGGAGTGGTGATCTTAAGTTGAAGTAGCGACAAAGTTCCAGAGTGTTTAGAGAGAGATCGACAGTGAGCACAACCAGAGATGCAAACTACAGGCACGAAGAAAATGTATTTTCACGAAGACACGAAGAAAATGTATGGGATCACAGCCAAGGACGTCTAGCACACACTAATGTATTCATAGATTGGGGGCGCAATGGGTGACAATGGGAGGCAATGTTCACACATGTTACCCATACTTTTCGCGCTATCGGGTTGTGGGTTCGGAGAAGAAATCGACGATGGGAAATTCCGAAGTTGCATCTAACAGACCAAGTTCACGGTGGTTAAGAGCAAAATAAGATTTATCAATCACACTTCTTTCCCATACAATATAGTTCATTGGAGTCAGCTCTGATGGAATTCAGGTATAACTTTTAATCCCGCTACCGGTACCTAATTTGTCGCAAATTCAGGTATTGTAGTAATAGAAATCATTAGGTATAATACATCAACTTAGAAGCAAGGCTCAATAAAAGTACTAAATTAAGAAATGAATTCGCGCAATAAAAGACATGATGAAAAAATTAAATGAAGAAAATTCAAGCGAAGCTTATTGCCGATAATAAATTTTGTGAGTTAAAAACAGCACTCTCGTTTCACGAAGAGGAATACTGTGGTTAAAACTAATTACCGATGTATAGAGGACACAAAAATTCTCTCAGAGGGAAAAAGCTTAGCTTCATTGATCATTTACTGAGACTTGCGGTCGGCTGAAGCTCGGTAAAAACGATCCTAACGCAACGAAAAACAAATAAATTTTTTGGAAATTATGCTATATAAAACAATAATCAGGGATGACTGAGCAAAGATAGTACAATGCCTTTGAATACAACGCCTTTGAATGTACATTCAAAGGCGACCTATAACCCGCTGAATATTTTCAACAAAGAATTGTGCGGCAAAGAGGGTGCTCTAATGAAGGACTGATTTTGGCAAATAGTACAAACTCGTATGTCAATGTCGGGAATACGTTACGTTCCCGGTGCCTCTTAGCACGGCACCTTTGCAAAGTAAATATAAACGTGTAACAGGGAAATGATACGCATGAGTAAAACTTACAAAAGAAATGAATAGGAAATTTCGAATCGTAGATGGGAATCGGAAAGGATAGTTTCACATATCTTTTGTTCAAATTTGACAGCGAAGGCAGAATCATCAACCTCCTACAAAGAGATGATATTAGACTTCATTCAAGATTTGATTCATTAAATAAACATAGATATTTACACACGAGACTGACTCCTGTTCCTCACCAAGAATTGATACTAGGCGATTGATACTAGGCTCAATATAGTCAAGGATTTCTTGAACGATGTTACTTTTTAGCAAATCAAACCATGGAAAAACTGTAAAATTTTCACGATCGAAGGACGATCGGTAGTCAAGAAAGTTGGAGATCGAACTCCAATTTTCTTTACTAATGCATACCAGAGAAAAATCTGAGACGCTAATAAAAATTAGCATAGAATTTCCGAATGGCGATGTCGTTTGCCATTGTTGTCGTTCCATCAGGAATGAGAAGGACTTTTGTTTGTGTTGTTGTTATTGCGGTTTCCGTTTTGCCGCGCGGTTGACTGCTGAAGCTGAATTAGAGACGCTAGAGTTGGCTGGTGGGGTTTCCTAAGGCTCTCGTATCCAGCGTCGTCAACAACGTGCACTAGGAAACGGTTCTCATCCGTACAACCAACGCGCAGTTCCAGGAGACGCGCGTCGCAGTACAGTTGATAGTCGAGCATCCAGGGATGCTGGAACGTCTTCTCTACAGTCAGGCGCTTGCGTTTGTTCACTTGCAGCAGGTTCGTGATCAAGTCGATCGCTGCACAAATAAAATATATTAATACGCGTAATCAGGATAGGTAGTCAAAGTTTATATCATCCAGATATTTTTCTCATACTTTCATAAATGACATATATTAATACGCGTAATCAGGTTCAGTAGTCGAAGTTTAAATGATCGTTCAAGAACATTTTCTCATACTTTCATAAATTATATCGGTATCTCATACTTCCAAACTCGCTCAAGGGCTGGGCCGAAAAGACGATCTTATCAGAGAATAAAATCGAAACAAAAAACCTCAACACTAACATAGATTGCCAGCCTTCACAACACAAAATGCCGTACGACATTCATCAGTTAAAACAACTAAGCTGCTGCCACCACGCATGCTGAACAAAGATAACAAATATATAAATATATAACAAAGCTAACCTTCAGGCGTGATTTCCTTCCATGGGTTGGGAGGATACATGAAGGCAGCGTTGGTGATCTGATCGTTGATGTCCTCGTCTTCGTTGAAGGGGAAGGTGCCAGAGAGCGACACGTACGTTACCACACCGACGCTCCACATGTCCAGCGATCTGTTGTAGCCTTTGTTGCGTAGCACCTCGGGGGCTGCACCAAACAATTCATTGCCAAATGTCCACCATGACAAAGAACTCGGGAAAAAATAGTATTCAAACAGTGAACAAACTGCACAAAATTACATTATAGTTACAATACCATCATTTTTCATGAAGTTTTTTTTACGAAACTAACCAAGGATGTTAGTTTCGTGCGAGGCTTGACTCAACTACTGTACGAGGCTTGAGGAACATGTTAGTATCAGAGCAAAGTCCTACACCATCAATACATTTCAGTATCCCAGAGTATAATTCTCACCAAGATATGCTGGAGTTCCGACAACGCTCTTGCGGAATGATTTCTCGCCGATGATACGAGCGAATCCAAAGTCTCCAAGTTTCACCTGAGAAAATTACCATTACTTGCAACTTAAAACCATATTCATGTCTGTTAATCAACTGGCCTGAAAACTTGTAACAATAACAACAGAAAAAAATATAACTCAGTACTCACTGCAGTGAGTGACAGAGAGCGCATTTTCTCGTCGACGAAAACGTGAAGTCACGGACGGACAGACGGACGAGCGGACATGACGAGCACAATAGCGCCTCTTTTACCATAAATGAGAAAATGCGCTAAGAAGTTACCGAAAAAATTGGCAACAAAATAATATAAGTGATTAATATGACAGGAACACAAACCATGTAGAGAAATATTGTAAAGAAATCGAGCATTAATTTGCAATGCGACACGATTGTTAGTAAGCACCTGGGGGAAATCCGAGTGATCGGACAGCAGCACGTTCTCGGGCTTGAGATCGCAATGGACGATGTTCTTGCTGTGCAGGTAGCGGAGAGCTGCTAAAATCTGTTATGTAAATCATATCAATTAGAGCTCTCATTAAAATAATTCGCATATAGAAAATCAGGCACAATCAATAAATAATCCAACAAAAATTCATTTTTTTGGGTGTGACATGAGCCTACAAGATATCAATTTTAGAAATGCGTTCAACTTTCCACCTCCCGTTGAAGACATTGATAAACCGAAATATCTCTTACTAATTTTGTTCAGGACGTATTATTATACTACTACTAATTTTGTTCAGAACATTTTTTATTACGTATTACGAATCATTCCTTACACATATTACACCTTGCCTTGGAGATAAAAACAAACATTGATGTAGAATTTATCGATTTGTTCACCTGGAAGATGAGATACTTGGTGACGCGCTCGCTGAGTCTCGCCTTCTCGCTGCTGAGGATGAGCTCGAGCATGTCGCCCTGTAGCTTCTCCATGACCACCAACACCCGGTCTGGTGTCTCGAACATGCGCTCCACGCTCACCACGCTCTGAAATGCAGAGCAGTTAATACACGCTCACCACGCTCTGAAATGCAGAGCAGTTAGTACACGCTCACCACGCTCTGAAATGCAGAGCAGTTAATACATGCTTACCACGCTCTGAAATGCAGAGCAGTTAGTACACGTTCACCACGCTCTGAAATATAGAGCAGTTAATACACGCTCACCACGCTCTGAAATATAGAGCAGTTAATACACGCTCACCACGCTCTGAAATATAGAGCAGTTAATACACGCTCACCACGCTCTGAAATATAGAGAGCAGTTGATACATGTTCACCACGCTCTGAAATGCAGAGCAGTTAAAACACGCTCACCACGCTCTGAAATGCAGAGCAGTTAAAACATGCTCACCACGCTCTGAAATGCACAGCAGTTGATACATGTTCACCACGCTCTGAAATACAGATCAGTTAATACACGCTTACCACGCTCTGAAATGCAGAGCAGTTAGTACACGTTCATCACGCTCTGAAATGCACAGCAGTTGATACATGTTCACCACGCTCTGAAATGCAGAGCAGTTAATACACGCTCACCACGCTCTGTAATGCAGATCAGTTAGTACACGTTCACCACGCTCTGAGATATACATCAATTAATACACGCTCTGAAATGCAGAGCTGTTAGTACATGCTTACCACGCTCTGAAATACACATCAATTAATTAATATGCGGATGCGCCGCAGAAAAACAGCTCTTATCATCGCTTGTTGCGGCGCAAGACAGGTTGCTGATTTTGAACATTGGGAAAAACGCGAAGTTAAGGAAGGACTTTTAAATACTGCGAAAAAATACTCTTTGCAAATACTCGTCGTACGGTACGGTATATCATCGGTCAATACAAGAATTCTTCAACGTTCTCATGGATTTTTTGTGTGATCCTAACAAAAAGCTGCATGGAATTCAGAAATTGAATATTTAAAATCAATTACTATGTCGGTAAATTTAGTAATGCGTACTTAAATACAAAGTACTTAAAAAGTCTTATCCTTGATTAAATAGAAAGTGATCTTCATCGGAAATTTCCAACGAATTTCGTAGTAGGAACCAAACATCACAGTAGAAGAAATCCTGACGTAGATTATTGCATTAGAGCAAATATCCAAACCTAATTCAGAATTGATTAAGAAGCTGGATCTATAAAATAATAAATAATAATTATAATTATTAAAGCATAATAATTATAATAAATAATAAAGCATTAATAAAAGCACAGCGATGGCTGACCTGATGACGAATGCTTTATACTAAATATCAGAGTAGAAGAAATTCAGACGCAGCTTATTGCATCAGAGTAAATATCAAAGCCTAATTCTTAATTGATTGGGAAGATGGATTCATAAAATAATAAACAAAACATAAATAAAAGATGGATCAATAAAATAATAAATAAAGCATTAACAAAAGCCCGGCGAAGGCTGACCTGATGACGGATGCTCTGTAGGATGGCGAGTTCGTTCTTAAGCAATTATAATTATTAAAGCATAATAATAATAATAAATAAAGCATTAACAAAAGTACGACGATGGCTGACCTGGTGACGGATGCTCTGCAGGATGGCGAGTTCGTTCTTAAGCAATTATAATTATTAAAGCATAATAATAATAATAAATAAAGCATTAACAAAAGTACGACGATGGCTGACNTGATTGGCTCCCTGCACATCATATAATAAATCCAATCAGTTGAATTATTATGAAATGATACAGCAAGTAGTGATTGGCTCCCTGCACGTCGAATATATCGTCCAATCAGTTGAATAAATATGATATAATACAGCAGGTAGTGATTAGCTCTCAGCACGTCGAATATGACATCTGATTAGATAATTTAAAAACAACAGATTAGCGTTCAATTTATTTTCATGGTGATAAGAATTCCAATCAGATTCAGGTAGAAAATTGAGGTAGAAATCCAATGAAATAGAAAATTTAGGTATAAATACCAAATTCGGTAGAAATCCAATCAGATTCATGTAAAAAATTGAAATTTCGTACATGACTATCCACCAAATAATTCCCCACAAAACAAAAGAGTTCATAGTTTTTATAATGCTGAAAACAATAGGCGATTTCCGGGCAAGTAGTCGTGAAGTAAAAAATTAGCTCTTCCTTCCTAACACAAATAATTGAATATAAAGAAATTCGCGGCTACTCAGAGCAAATAAAATGTAATTGCAAAACAAACGAGTAATATGACAAATGCGGTTCTCCTAGCGAGCCATGAACCAGATGTAAGTTTTGAAAACCATTCTTGACTAGCGACAAAATATTAAATCCGAACAAAATGAAAACACAGGTTGAAAAAATATAACTCAGTACTCACTGCAGTGAGTGACAGAGAGCGCATTTTCTCGTAGATGAAAACGTTAAGTCACGGACGGACAGACAGATAGACGGACGGACGGACGGACGGACATGACGAGCACAATAGTGCATTTTTTCCATAAATGAGAAAATGCGCTAAAAATAAGACACTAAAGCCTGGTAGAATTATTCTGGAAGCCTCACAGGTCTAGGAGGTGTAAAAAATTTGGAGGTGCAAAAATAAAATGAAAAAAAATTTTTTCAACAAAATGAATAATACAGGTTTAAAAAAAAGTCTTACAGGTTTAGGAGGTGCAGATTCTGAAGGCGAGACCTAAGGTTGAAAAAATAAGACAATTAAGCCATATATAAGACAATTATTCTGGAAGTCTTACAGGTTTAGGAGGTGCAGGTTCTGAAGGCGAGACCTGAGGTTGAAAAAATAAGACAATAAAGCCATATATAAGACAATTATTCTGGAAGTCTTACAGGTTTAGGAGGTGCAGGTTCTGAAGGCGAGACCTGAGCCCCAGCAGGAGACGTGACCACCACCGAGCACACGGGAGGCGCTGCCGGGGAGGGTGCCGGGGCTGCGGAGGGCGCGGCAGAAGCAGCGCCGTTGGACGGGGGCTGTAGTACTTGTATTTCGCTCAATAACAAATAGTACTTGTATGTCGCTCAATAACAAATAGTACTTGTATTTCAATCAGTAACAAATAGTACTTGTATGTCGCTCAATAACAAATAGTACTTGTATGTCGCTCAATAACAAATAGTACTTGTATTTCGCTCAATAACAAATAGCACTTGTATGTCGCTCAAAGAGAAATACAATTGTCTACGGGGCTAGAGAACTAAAAAGACATGCTGGAAAATTTTGCAGGCATCTTTTGGCTAATAGCCAAAAGAAAAAAACAGTATTCGAATGAATACTGTTTCCTTTACTCTGAAACAGTAGGAAAAATGCATATATGGTTGATTGCTTCGCGCATTGAATCTCTTGGCTTAAAGAATATTCAGGGCTCAGCTCCACGAAACCTGAAATTCTTCTCTCAGGTTATGCCAACTATTTTGGAAGTTGATCAAAGGACCCTTGGGAAATTTCACGGCGTGATCAGCAATTATTGATAATAGATTAGGCGAGGCTCATAAATATTCCATCTGCTAAGCAGATTTCAAACAGGTAGACGTATTGGTTACCCAGTAAGACTTTCATTAACATAATGCGTCATAACAACAAGTCAGGCGCATTCCATTAGTTGGGATTATTGTACACGTAGTGTGACTTGCATCTGTATCAACTAGCAATTGCAATGTACGAAGACTCTGTGGAACCAAACGCGGACTGGCAACATGAATATTTTTATTTAAAATTCCTACGAATCATTATCTCAGTTGATCGTCAAGATAATCAGCTACATGACCTCAATTAACGAGTATCTCTCAGTCTAATTTGTCTTAACTTGTGTTGCTTTATTAATTTCTCTAAATCTTCCAGCCATCAACAGATATAGATAAATCAACAAATCAAGCATAATTAACTAAGCGATCCTTGAAATATTTCCTTGATCCTTGAAATAAAAAGGGTGGTGAAGGAAAAATCCTTGATCCCTAAGCGATCCTTGAATATATATTATTTAAAGTGAGACCTACGAAGCAATTGCAACTGACCCGCGCAAGGTAAGCTCCTAATCCATTCCTACGAATCATTATCTCAGTTGATCGTCAAGATAATCAGCTACAAGACCTTAAGTAACGAGTATCTCTCTTAATTATAGTTTCAACTGAGATCTAAGACCTACACAGCAAGTGCAACTAACCCGCGCAAGGTAAGCTCCTAATCCATTTCTACGAATCATTATCTCAGTTGGTCGTCAAGATAATCAGCTACAAGACCTCGAGTAACTCTTAGTTATAATTTCAACCGAGACCTACGGAGCAAATGCGACTGACCCGCGCAAGGTAAGCCCCTAGTCCAGACTCAGGCGGGTTGACCTCTTGCACTCCGCCGTCTCGCAGCCGCGGGTATGATTCCTGACCCACGAAGAAGTCCAGGTTTGTCGTGCGTAACTCGAAACAATGGATCACTCCGTTCTCCGCATCTGTGAAGAGCGTTAGTTAGTTTTATGCTTGATTATTTAATCACTAATTAGGTGCTTCCTTGTAATAAGTTGCTGTCGAGTCGTTCTGGTAGAGCGTGATGGTCTTAGTGTCCAACCGCCAGTAGTGACGTTTGCGCTGTGAAGAAAAACAATTACCATCAGTTGAACCATACATTACATTTGAATAATATTCAACATAAATCTCGTGAATCATGAGATTGAATTGAGTTGCTATTTTATTCTTTTTGTGGGACCAGATAGTGAAACCAGGTGGAACTTTATACCTACATTTCAAAGGAGGAATCTATATTGAATTTCATGTAGCTTCTTTTGATGATCACACAGATCAAAATATAGAAAAGTGAACATATACTAGAAATAAGTAAACGGTCAACCTTCACCTTCATTATCTAATTCAGAAAATTTCGTACAAATAGCGAATTTCATTAAATATTTTCATAGGAAACAACAATGGGTGTTCAAGATGCAATGTTTCAGGGATAATTTTCATTGCAGAACAGATTCAGTACATTCAAATCAGTATTGAATATTTAAAAGAATTTTCAGTTGATTCTCGACATTATCAATAAACACCTTGACTGTTATTATATGTTATATAATGTTATCTGTTGTGATCATCAAAACACTGATAGTGTTTTGATGATTGTGGTCGTGGTGGTGTATCGCACAACCATTCTCACCTCAGGGTTCTTGTTGGTGAAGTGCACCATCCAGCCCTCCTTCACCACCCAGTTCTCACCTCAGGGTTCTTGTTGGTGAAGTGCACCATCCAGCCCTCCTTCACCACCCAGTTCTCACCTCAGGGTTCTTGTTGGTGAAGTGCACCATCCAGCCCTCCTTCACCACCCNGAGAGTGAGTCAGAGAGAGAGTGAGTCAGAGAGAGAGTGAGTCAGAGAGAGAGTGAGTCAGAGAGAGAGTGAGTCAGAGAGAGAGTGAGTCAGAGAGAGAGTGAGTCAGAGAGAGAGTGAGTCAGAGAGAGAGTGAGTCAGAGAGAGAGTGAGTCAGAGAGAGAGTGAGTCAGAGAGAGAGTGAGTCAGAGAGAGAGTGAGTCAGAGAGAGAGTGAGTCAGAGAGAGAGTGAGTCAGAGAGAGAGTGAGTCAGAGAGAGAGTGAGTCAGAGAGAGAGTGAGTCAGAGAGAGAGTGAGTCAGAGAGAGAGTGAGTCAGAGAGAGAGTGAGTCAGAGAGAGAGTGAGTCAGAGAGAGAGTGAGTCAGAGAGAGAGTGAGTCAGAGAGAGAGTGAGTCAGAGAGAGAGTGAGTCAGAGAGAGAGTGAGTCAGAGAGAGAGTGAGTCAGAGAGAGAGTGAGTCAGAGAGAGAGTGAGTCAGAGAGAGAGTGAGTCAGAGAGAGAGTGAGTCAGAGAGAGAGTGAGTCAGAGAGAGAGTGAGTCAGAGAGAGAGTGAGTCAGAGAGAGAGTGAGTCAGAGAGAGAGTGAGTCAGAGAGAGAGTGAGTCAGAGAGAGAGTGAGTCAGAGAGAGAGTGAGTCAGAGAGAGAGTGAGTCAGAGAGAGAGTGAGTCAGAGAGAGAGTGAGTCAGAGAGAGAGTGAGTCAGAGAGAGAGTGAGTCAGAGAGAGAGTGAGTCAGAGAGAGAGTGAGTCAGAGAGAGAGTGAGTCAGAGAGAGAGTGAGTCAGAGAGAGAGTGAGTAAGAGAGAGAGTGAGTAAGAGAGAGAGTGAGTAAGAGAGAGAGTGAGTCAGAGAGAGAGTGGGTCAGAGAGAGTGAGTCAGAGAGAGCGAGTCAGAAAGAACATGTCAGAGAGAGTGAGTCAGAGAGAGTGAGTCAGAGAGAGTGAGCTAGGAAGAGTGAGTCAAAGACAATGAGTCAGAGAGAGTGAGTCAGAAAGATTGAGTCAGAGAGAGTGAGTCAGAAAGATTGAGTCAGAGAGAGTAAGTCAGAGTGAGTCAGAGAAAGTGAGTCAGAACGAGTAAGTCAGAGAGAGTGAGTCATAAAGTGAGAGTCAGAGAGAGAGTATGTGTCAGAGAGAGAGTGAGTCAGAGAGAGAGTGAGTCAGAGAGAGAGAGAGAGAGTGAGTAAGAGAGAGAGAGAGTGAGTCATTAAGAGTGAGTCAGAGAGAGTGATTAAGAGAAAGTGAGTCAGAGAAAGTAAGTCAGAGAGAGCGAGTCAGAAAGAGTGAGTAAAGAGTGAGAATAAAGAGTGAGTCAGAAGTGAGTCAGGAAGACTCACTCGTCTCCGCCAGGATCAGATGGGGCGGGGCGTGGGGGTGCGGGGGAGGGGGGGCAGTCCTCGTCATTGTCGCCGCTGTCGTAGTGGTAGCCGCTGGTGGTGCCCTCACCACCGTCGTCGTCATCACTACCAACCGGCAGCCCAGCTGTGACGATTCAATACTGATTAACGAACTAATATTGATAATACTGAATAACGAACTCAAGACCGATAATATTGAATAACGAACTTCGGACCGATAATACTGAATGAATAACAAACTTAGGACCGATAATATTGAATAACTAATTTTGGACCAATAATATTAAATGAATAACGAACTTAGGACCAATAATACTGAATAACGAACATAATACCAATAATACTTAATACGGTAACGAACTTAGGACCGATAATACTGAATGAAACTAACTTTGAACCGATGATACTGAATGAAGAATTCATGACCCTACGTACAATGTGCAACTTGTATTAAAAAATGTGGCACAAAGTTATCAGAATAAATTGCGACACAGCTATGGCCGCTAGAAAAAATAATGTTTAATTTTGAGCCGTTAGAATGTAGTGTTTCATGGCATCCAGGGACGGCCGTTCACCATCACATCACTTCNCCTCACCCGAGTCGGGAGCCTCGCCCAGGCAGTTGGGTGGGAGTCTCTCACCATCACCATCACACCACATCACCATCACCATCACACCACATCACCTCAACATCACACCACATCACCATCACACCACATGACCATCACACCACATCACCATCACCATCACATCACATCACATCACATCACCATCACACCCCTCACCCGAGTCAGGAGCCTCGCCCAGGCAGTTGGGCGGGAGTCTCTCACCATCACATCACATCACATCACATCACCTCACCATCACACCACCATCACCATCACACCCCTCACCCGAGTCAGGAGCCTCGCCCAGGCAGTTGGGTGGGAGTCTCTCCATGCATTTTCTGTGCGCGTTGTAGCGGCAGTCCTTGCACTGGTAGCCTTGCTTGAACAGACCTGCACCAACACAACTTATTAGCACGGTACGTACAGGTAATGTAGTACATGATAACACCTTATTCTTAGCAGTAAATTACAAGCCAATAATTTAGTACACGATAACAGCATATTAGCACAGTACTAAGAGGTAATGTAGTACACGACAACAGCATATTAGCACAGTACTAATAGGTAATGTAGTACAAGACAACAGCATATTAGCACAGTACTAATAGGTAATGTAGTACATGATAACAACTTATTACCACGGTACAAACAGGTCATCTAGTATATGAGAACACCTTATTCTTAGCAGCAAAGTACCAGCTGCTAATTTAGTACACGAAAACTTATTGGCACAGTACATACAGGTAATCTAGTACACGATAAAGCCTTATTCTTAGCAGCAAGGTACTAGTAAATAATTTAGTACATGAGAGCAACATATTAGCACAGTCAAAGATGATCTTAGTTTAATTAAACCTTACCTTAACAGCCCTGCACGACAACCACAAATTAGCACAGTGAGAACCAGGCATTAATTTACAACAAACAATACCAACAATTAGCTTAGTTCAATAGTACAGACGGTACATTATTCAGGTGCTAGGATTTGTAGCGATCGTGTGTATGGCTCGTTGGTCTTCTTAACGATGTGTATGATGCAAAACATTAATGTTTCTAAGACACCGTATGACCATTGAATCTTGATTATAATTGAAATAACGCATTTCTTAACGACAAGCAAAAAATTTAAAAATGAATACTTGTCTTCAGACTAGGGCATTACATAACGTCAAATTTTAAGCATACTCGTTTATTCAGAATTACCTCAAACAATATAAAAAAAACTTGAGATGATGTTGCTATAAATGTATCTATTTATTTTTAATCAAACTATGTTGAAAGGTGTATCGTGTCTCGTATAGTGAAACAAAAGTTGGCTCTCGCTTCAACGCGATTGAAACTGTACCAAAGATTGAAGTCATTAATACAATACTAATTAGTACTAATTGTACCAATTAGTATTACTAATTAGTACATTAGTACTAATTGTACTAATGTAAAATTAGTAGGTACTAATGTCTTGGTATTACCAACTTTGAAGTATTACGTACTAGTATTAGTATTACTTAGTACTAGCAGTAAAATTAGTATTAATTTGAAGTCATTAGTACAATATTGCTGTATCTTACATGATATTAAATAAAGCTTATACGCTATATAGAGCGTGAATAACTGAGCTGACCTTTAAGAAGTTTCTTGCAGTAGTGGCACACCGTGGGTTTGGTGTACGAGTGAAGACTGAACGTGTGGGGAACCTGGGGGGCGAGGGAACATATTAATGATGTGCACCATTACATTAATGAATGGTTACATTACATTACAGTACATGTGGGGCAAGCGAACATATTAATGATGTGTACCATTACATTAATGAATGGTTACATTACATTACATTACATTACATGACCTGTGGGGCAAGCGAACATATTAATGATGTGCACCATTACATTAATGAATGGTTACATTACATTACATTACATTACATGACCTGTGGGGCAAGCGAACATATTAATGATGTGTACCATTACATTAATGAATGGTTACATTACATTAAATGATGATGATACATACATGAATACATTACATTACATTAATGAAAATTAATGTTTGTTGCATTCGAAACGTCGTTAACAAATAAGAACTACTTCCTGCAACTTGCCTTTTAATCTAACGTCATCTGAAGAAAAAAAAATCCACTCACTGATAATATAAATCAATGAATTCTCTGGTCATCGATCGCACGTGTGTAAACAAGTAAATCCTGCCATCTAATATTAATTTCATTACATTAATGGAGACCAACACGTTAATGATGCACACCATTACATTAATCAAGCCAACACATTAATGATCCGCACCATTACATTAATGGAGACAACACGTTAATTATCTGCACCATTACATTAATCAGCCAACACATTAATGATGTGCACCATTACATTAATCAAGCCAACACATTAATGCTGTGCACCATTACATGTGTGACAGGTCCCGAATTCTGCGGAATATTTTTTTGAGAACATAGTATTGGCTGGACTTGTAAGATCCGACTTCATTATAAGATTAGAGTTTTGATGTTATAAATTACGTTAGAATAAGACAAAGTAAAGCGAGTGTATTTTTTATTTTGAGACAGCGACATTCAAGCTTGTTTAACTGTGATATTATTTTGTTAATTCATAGGATTTAGTTGTTAGCGTCTTGGAACGAGACTGAATGTTATAGCTCCAATGTGCACGTTTATTCCTCTAGGTAGTCATGGACGATGGGGAGCTCGATCACTTTAGAATTAGTTCAGGATTATTCGACTATTAACTTGTGATAAGTTTGCCAAATGATTAAAATTATGATGACTTCATTGTATTGTATTACATTATCTATTTTTCGTGCACTTAGAGAGTTTTAACAGTCTGTTCTGTGCTCCTTAAGGCCCGTTTACACTAGGGGCAACACACGAGAATCAAGTGTCTCAAAGCGCATGCAGAGGCGCTTTGCAGCCTCTGCATGCGCTTCTTGACCGATTGACGAGCTAGCGATTGACAGGTTTCGTAGGGCGGTTAGCAGCCGTACCATTAGGTGCTTATATACGGGGCTATTAGTTGCGTCTACTAGGCTAGGCTACTAAAATTTGTGATGCTCTACGTGTTCAGAGGCAATTAGCTGGTTCATTGCAGGCAGAGCAACTCGAGTTGTTTTGAAGCAGTCTATGCTCTCAGTAGCAGCCCGTCCGTCATACCGACCACAGCTGCGTCGCGCTCTTTCTCGCCCACTGTAGCGCGTACTGCTGTCATGCTCTCGCATGCCTCCACCGTGCACAGTGCACACCCTTACTCGACCACTCAAAACGTCGCACTGACGCGGCCGCAGTGTACCGAAAACACTATACTCGTGTATAGGCTTTCAGACTGCAAAACTGTAGTAGACGCGACTAATAGCTCCGTGTGTAAACACCTATTCGCACCCTCGTAACATAGAGGCTAATAACCTCTTCGCTCGAGTAAATTGTCAGCAGCTTATTGGGGGCTAGTACCCTTCAATAATCTTGCTTTTGAGGCGCAACTACCACCCCATTTTTGTGTTCTCGGCAGTGTATTAGGGCTCGTACCTCTGATCATTGCATTGGTTGTCGGCATCGTGGTGCAGTTCGTGCCTGTACCCTTGCTATCCGCTCATGTAGTTCTCGATAGTTGGTTAGGACTAATCAGCGTTGTATCCCTGAAATTGAGATCCTGTCTCCCGGAAATTTTGTACAATAATAAATTGTGTGCCTTGTACAGTGGAATTTGTGTATCGCCTGAAAATCACCAATATACTACGAAAAGTTACTCGTTTTCATTCCTCTTCTCTCCAACACAAGGGAATTTAGAGCCGGACCAAAGAGCGACTCTTTAGCCCTTGTGTTAAAACCATTACGGAAGTCACCGTCAAGTCGGCACGCTACCCATGATTATTTCGACTTCGCAGCTGTGTCACATGTAATTAACATTTAATTTAAGTTGCAACATGAACATCTACAACGACTTCTAAAAAGCAATATTTATGGGATAAAACAATGATAAGTAAAGATGAGCAGCATTATTTGAAGAACAAACCTTGGCACGACCCAGCTCATTTAATTGAATTTAAAAGCAGAAGTGTATGCAAGGGCTTCATTTCGTTTCAGAACAAGCTGCCTCGCACTCTCAATACAAAATATTTTATCACCAATTAAGTGGAAGTCTGTCTACTAAACAACGTGCGCAAAGAAAGGACCAATCTCGCGAACTCTCTTTCGTAAACATAATAAATGCATCCAACTGTTCAAGCTCCTTTCTCAATATTCCAAACGAAAACAAAATTATCTGCGTAGTATTTGACTAGACCCAAAGTGGAAGCACACCTAGACGCGGCCTTCGAGTTATTAAACATGACATATTAATTAAAAAAAAAAACTATTTGTCGTTTACACGGGACCGTGAATTCTCGCTCGACGCATATGGGTCGGCCGGCGAGCTCTTAAACCTAACAAATTAATAAACTAACAAACTTTAAACAGTTTAATTATTAAATAAAACAATCATCTGAATAACAGCCGACAAAGTAGCGCTCCTTGATGCGGCCGGCGAGCTCTCGCTCGACCAAGTTGGGTTGGCAAGCGTGCTCTTAAACATAACAAATTAATAAACTAACAAACTTCTTGCACTTTACTTAATGAATAAAGCAGTTATCTGAATAACTGCTGACGAAGTAGCGCACCTTGATGCGGCCAGCGAGCTCTCGCTCGACCAAGTTGGGTTGGCAAGCGTGCTCTTAAACAACAAATTAATAAACTAACAAACTTTTAAAACTTTACTTATTAAATAAAACAGTTATCTGAATAACTGCTGACGAAGTAGTGCACCTTGATGCGGCCGGGAAGCTCTAGCTCGACCTTGGGTCGGCAAGCATGCTCTTAAAACAACAAATTAATAAACTAACAAACTTTTAAAACTTTACTTATTAAATAAAACAGTTATCTGAATAACTGCTGAAGAAGAAGCGCACCTTGATGCGGCCGGCGAGCTCTCGCTCGACCCAGATGGGACGGCCGGCGCTGGAGGCGATGCTACCGCGGGGGCTCTTGGGCAGACTGGGTGAAGAGGTCGACTGCGTCTGTGGGTCAATATTCGGGCTAAACCAACACCACAAAGTTGAACTTCTTTAATACCTATAGTTATGAACACTTCTGCTAATGGGGCTGATAACCTGTGTTAATTAATAGACAGCACAAACGTGCACTTCTTTCGTATTTATAGTTATGAACACTTACAACGCACCGCTAATGGGGTTAACAACCTGGGTTAAACAGAGAACACAAACTTGCACTACAATTACAATTGTAAAATTTGGCTAATAATTTATTTACAATTACAATTGACCAGAATTTTGGCCAACAACCAGGGTAAACCAACACCTAGAACATGCATTTTTGTGTTCACAATCGACCACAGATAACAGTATTTTCACGTATCTAAAGAGTCGATAGATACAGTTGCTGAACTATCAACCGTCTTACAGGCCAAATTGAACCACTCACAACGAAAGTATTAGAAAATAGAAGGTAAATACACTATACTCCTATACTATAGGTAATATACACCGGATCGCCTCCATACACATACTTACTCCGACCAGTCCATCATAGGATGCGGATTCTCACGATGCCAATTTAATTGAAGAGCGGTAGATTTTTATCCAAATAAAGTATCTAACATAAATTCACACACTTTTCAGAATTTCAAAACCGCAATTATGAAGACTCCGGATTAAAAACACATTTCCAAGAAATATTGGCTAAGTTGATCATGCAATAAAAATTATCTTTTTAATTAGAATGCCATGCAATTGAAATTAAATACAGGATTTGAAACAGCAGTCAGTAGTTAACAAGATAAAACGTACAAGAGGCGATGAGTGAGGACATAAAATTTGCAGATAACCCACAAAGAAAAGTACAGAAGTATGTGAGGAAGGAAAGAATAGCGGAAATTCTTCATTTCAAGTTATTGATGCAACTAAAACTAATCTACCAACATCATGCAGAGAATTTTTTTCCAGCCTTGGGATGAAGATCAATATAAAAAGTCTTGCTATTAGAAGGATCAGCGTCAATCCGAGCTACAAGATGAATAAAAGTGTCTCAATAAATCCAAAGGAACGTTTTTACACTGATAACGCAAGTCTATGTGGTTGCGATTTCATATTTTGGGTGACAATATTTAAATATGCAAGAAACAACTTTAATTTGAATGGCAAACTATTTGCAAAACAAATTTCCAATCGTATATGGGTTGATGATGTTGCAGAAACTATTCAAAACTCATCGAAGAAACGTTCGTTTTCTCTATTTCAACGTTATTTTGCAAAGAAAATGGCATTACTTGAACAAGCAGTATCTAGTGAAAGTTTTAGCGATATAGGTAGGTAGTAATTTAGCGCTACGGTGTAAAGCAGCCACTGCACGTGAACCCGAAACTAAAAAAAAAATATAACTCAGTAGTACTCACTGCAGTGAGTGACCGAGAGCGCATTTTCTCGTCTGTCCGTCCGTGAAGTCACGGACAGACAGACGGACGGACTGACGGACATGACAAGCACAATGGCGCCTTTTTTCCATAAAAAAAAAAGAATACAGATAAATAAATAATACAATACGTAATCGAACTGGAATAATCATTTCTAAAGAACAACTTGAGAAGCAATACGATGTGCAGGAGTGCATGCAGCAAGTCACAGATACAAGAGACGTACCAGATTATAGTTCCATTTGAGAGATGACTGCGTCAGAGAGACAGAGAAGGCATGATGATAGTAGAACAGGATGAAATGAAATCGTCACAGACAATGACTCTTCTTCAACAATTTCCCGCAGAATAATCTATCATTCCAAAAACCAACGACTATTAGCTCGACCTTATGTGAAATTTCAAATTTGGATGTGAATGTCCTAATAAGCAATGAGTCATCTAATCAGTTTGAAAATACACATCAGAACGGTGTCTCGCAAGTTATTCAGTGTCAACTTTCGCTGGCTACGGCATGCGAGAGCCTTTCAAGGTTCCCACAAAGCAAGTCAATTTGTGCCAATTCGGTTATTCTTGACAACTCAAAGAGAATTGGGCGAGGAGAATTTTCGGTATCGCGGAAAGAAAGCGGAAGAATGTTTCTTATGTTGCGGAAATATGTTTGAGAGAAGTGAAAGCAAGTTTCTGGAAAAAATGACAAAAGAAAGTTTCACGAAGAGGATTAAATTCCAAGCAGAGGAGAAAAGAGAGAAAGTGTCAATAGTAATAGCGGATAAAAACTTCAGAAAGGACGAAGAAAAAAGTTTATTGGCAGTGACGGAAGAAAGTGTACATGGAGGAAGGAGTTACAGTAAGAAGCAGCAGAACAGAAGAGCAGCAGAACTTCTTCTTACAGAAGAAGAGCAGCAGAAAGCCATTGTAATACAGTGAGAGAAGGAGCATCTATTAGAAGAAAAGAAGAAAATTTCAAAAAGATAAACAGAAATATTAAAAATTCCAAGACACGCAAAAATGCGAAGGAAAATTTGTGCAAAGTATGATACTAGATGAAATTGTCTCGCTCCTAGAGGAAAGAGAAATTGATAAGATAAAAATGCGATGGTGATGGATTGGAAATGAATTTAGAAATTGAATAAGAAAGTATCATTAAATATATAATAGAACGGAACACCAAGTGTGCACAGTTAACGACGACGCTTACGATGTTATCAAATAGCCGATGTACATTACAATCATAACTATACAACATTTTAGAAGGCCATTGAAATATTTTCTGTACATTTGATACATACACGATACGTATATATAGATATATACACGACATATTGACAAGGGCCTGAAATTTATTCATCAAATTTACTGATATGCATGACACTGTCACAACGTTACATTACCATTGATACATGACACTTGATCATTATTAATTTATTATTTAATCATTAATTGAGGCAAGACACTTAATCATTATTAATTAATCATTAATTGAGACACGAAACTTGATCATTATTAATTAATCATTAATTGAGACACGACACTTGAGCGTAAAGACGACAGTAAGGAACATGTAGACGACACTTGAGCGTAAAGACGACAGTAAGGAACATGTAGACAAGACATGAACATATATATATATATGCCGCACGAAACTAAACACAAAATCTATGCTACCATCGCATGGTTTATAATTGCAGGCTCGTGCGGTGGCCGAAGTTGAAGTTTTAACAGCGCAACAACTGCGTGCGAGTTCCAGACATAAGCGCTTCACAACTCCTGGTATTGTTTTCAATAAAAACAATTGGACACAAAAACTGGTATTGGACACAAAAACTGGTATTGTTTTTAATACATTTAGTAGTTTTTAATAAAAACACAAAATCTCGTGAAGATCTGACAGACACAAGGAATCATTAATGTTGTATTCAAACTAATAACTGCGAGACTAATCCTTTCATTGAGACGTGAATTAACTTTACGTTGGCTTCTTGTGTGACGAAATACTGAATTTTTTTGTTTAGCGCATGCGAGGCCTGTCAGTATCATTTGCCAGTGTCTTGTTTACATATTCCATTGATCAAACGCAACGCGGAACGAAACTAAATATTTTACATCTGTTTTCAGAGAGATGCATCACGTGCAACTTTTCTGCTTGGAAATGTAGAAAAAGGCATCCGAAAAAAAAATAATAATAATAAATCGCGCTGACGCTCATAAATCCCGCATTTGATAAATACCGACACTGAAAGACTACCTTTAACCTACCACGTCGATAGGCTCAACTGAATTTCAATTAAAAAATTTAAAATTATATGACGCAGGTAAAAAAATTTCTTTACACCGCACGAGTGCAAATAGAACAAACTAAAGACAAATTGATAGCCATATTCAAGTAAAAATCCAGATCATGATCCAGAACCAGAAGTCAATTCATATCACGGAGTTGGAAATATTATCGTGGTATTATATCGGTAACAAATCCTGTAGCAAAAAGAAAAAGATTCGTGCTTTCAAAACAATAATCCACACTTCGCGAATAAATTCACTTCATCTACGTCGACCTCTTCACTTTTCATTACAACTTGTTCAAAATGAAAGTGATAAAGTTTCGCTCTCGTTGACGGTACGAGTTAATTTATACGTAAAAAGTATGTAAGGAGAAGAAGAAAAAGAAAAGAAAGAAGATAAAGAAGATGATAAAGTAACCTCACCCCCAGCGAAGTACGAGGCGAAAAGTACTTAGGAGAAAAGAAAAGAAATAAGATAAAGAAGATGATAAAGTAGCCTCACCCCCAGCGAAGTATGAGGTGAAAAGTACTTAGGAGAAAAGAAAACAAATAAGATAAAGGAGATTATATAGTATCTCGCCCCCAGCGAATCAGCGAAGTATGAGGTGAAAAGTACTTAAAAGAAAAAAAAAAGAAATAAGATAAGGAAGATGATAAAGTAACCTCACCCCCAGCGAAGTATGAGGCGAAAAGTACTTAAGAGAAAAGAAAAGAAATAAGATAAAGGAGATGATAAAGTAATCTCACCCCCAGCGAAGTATGAGGCGAAAAGTACTTAAAAGAAAAAAAAAAGAAATAAGATAAGGAAGATGATAAAGTAGCCTCACCCCCAGCGAAGTAGACTCGCTCGTGTCGAGGCTGGCTGTGGCCGCCACCAGGGATACCATTGAGCCGTCGGGCGACTTGTTCATGCTGTTCTCCACCTGCACGGTGAACACCCACACACATTACACTGTTCGATTACCACCCACTACACGACATCGCGATGAGTTTAGCAGCTAAATTCAAGATCGGTCACTTTTCAAACATAACGCGTTCATGGTGAGTGATGTTGAAGGATAGCGCTAATAATGATCACGGAAATATTTCTTACATTAGCGGTCAAGTAGATTTAAACACTATCTAATTTATATTGCTTTTTTAAATAGTATGATTGATTTGAAATTCGATTACACGGCATTGAAAGTGTAAAAATACACAGTCAATTTATTATTTAGATTTGAATTTATAACCGAGGTTGAATAATGTTCCCATAGTAGACTGAAACTATTAAGAGATGATGCTATAAGAACATCCACGTTTCTTCTAGAACTAGGAATGATCTCCATACTAGATTATCATAATTAAACAATGCTTCGAGGTTTTTCTTTGCATGTGTTTCTATATAACAACGTCTTCGTAAATACCCGTACTCATAAATTGTGGGAATGTCCACATTCTAAAGAAGACTCCCGATAAAAAATAAAATAAAAAATGAAATCGGATTAGATAGTTCAAGTTAATTTCTAGTCTATCAAGGATCTTTATTTCCGCTCACTCGATCAATAGTTTCCATGAGACTAATGATAAGAATGAAATTTACCATCATGCAGTGCACCAACAAAAGACTTCTCTCGGTGCGAGTTTTACCAATAATAACCAACCGGCATCAGTACGATTTTCATTTACAATAATCCACGCACATCAAAATTCTACACAAAAGCCTACACGTATAAGAAAAAGTACAACAAGCTAAATGCTCTGCATTAGCATCCAATATAACGCCGCAAGCGTCAACGGAATACGTAGGCAGACCAAGCCTGTCACGAACACGTCTATAACACGGTCTCCACATGAACTCTACACGATCGTCACACGGTCTCCATACGAGCTCTACAAATTCTCCATACGGTCTCCGCACGACTTCTACACGATCTCCACACGAACTCTACACGATCTCCACACGAACTCTACACGGTCTCCACACGAACCCTACACGATCTCCACACGGTGTCGAACACATTGCAAGTCAGCTACATCTGAACATACGGATGGCGATATCTGATGAACATTTAGATACTGATAAGAAAACCACGTCATCCATGGCCAAATCAAGACAACATTAGAAATACTGCATTTGTTTGACGTAATATGTACATTGAGAGATACCGTGTCGGGCGGGGACGTATATTATAGCTAAAAATAATCCATTAACCCTCTACCGCCTGACATGAGTAACCGGAGCAATATTGTCACAAGCCTACTTCCGAAAAAAAAGATAAGTTGCTAGTGAGCGCAAAATGACTTGTACTGATGGTTGCCGCCACGTACGACAACTTTAAAATGTTCTCTGTTGCGTACAAACGTCCTCAGGTTGCTGCACTTAATATTTTGCGTATAATTTAATTTGAAAGTTGTGTTCCCGGAGAGTGACATACAGCGGTAGAGGGTTAATCATCAGGCAGTAACCTTCTCAATAAGAATAATATATAGGTAACAGGACAATGAGGACATTATTAATAAAAAGCAATATTAGTGTGACGTAACATATGAATTAAGTACCGTAGGGGATACCGTGTCGGACGGGGACGTATATCACTGCTGAAAATAATCCATTAATCATCAAGCAATAATCTTCTCAATAAGAATAATATTTATTTAACAGGACAAAGAGGACATTATTAATAAAAATCAATATTAATACGACGTAAAATATGGAGAAAGTACCTTAGGAGATAGCGTGCCTGGTGGGGGCGGGAAAACGACTTTGGCCGACGACTTTGAATGTCATGACATATTAATAAAAAATCAATATTAAAACGACGTAAAATATGGAAGTACCTTAGGGGATAGCGTGCCTGGTGGGGGCGGGACAGCGAAGGAGGACCGCCGCTGCCTCGCATAGCTGCAGTTGTTGGGGATCTTGAAGGCACAGCGCTTGTGGAAGTTGAGCCAACATCCTGCGTTGGGAAGACGCTTACAGCAAACATAACGAGCTTGAGGTGAATAGAAGTCAATGATACGAGCTAATTAATGATGTGGAGTGTTAATAATGTTTGAGTGAGCGATACGAGCTAATTAATGATGTGCAGGGATACTAATGTTTGAGTGAATTATACCAGTGTTCCGAGATCAATCTAATTAATTACTAATTTTTGCGTGAATTATACGAGCGTTTTCCCGATATCAATCTGATTAATAATGAGGAGGAAACCTGGTCGAAGGTCGATACTATTTTTGTGCATCAAGAACTTAAATTCTGTTAAGTGACACTCAGTGGCACTGGGTTCCTTACGGGACAATTATTGAAGAAGCCAAGCGCTCTCTCTCAACCATGCCAGGTTGTTCTTTACTCACAACATAAACAATCAAGGGCAAGTAACACTGCGTTGAAATCCCACGCTATTCAGTGGACACTTTTTTTGCGGTTCAAGTTAACGACTGAGACATTTAAATCATCTTCAGTTTAAAGTCAAGTTCGTCTGTTGCGATGGAAAGGGGCAGAGATAATGTCAGGTCTTGACAGGAGTACTTGGAATAAAAATGATAAGAGGCACTACTATCTCCTGAGTTATACAGAGCTTAAATGCCAGTAGATTGAATGATGTAGCTAAAATTGTAATTATTTCTAGACAAAGTTTCGAGGAATCATGATCATTTCAACAGAAATTGCAGGGTTGAGAACACACTTTAACTTTTCACTTCCCAGATAGACACGTAGTCCTTACTTCCCATGCAAAAAATATAAAGCATCGATAAACTTAAATCATCGATGAGTATTTTTTCAAGTTCCATGAAACATAATATAACTCAATTTTACGACCTACGAATTTTAGATATTCCTTGATCACAAATAAGCCCAAGTGGGATGAGGAATATTATCCAAAAGGTATGAATAAAATTTGAGAAAAATCCATTATCACAAATAAACCCAAATGGCATGAGGAATCTTATCCTATAGGTATGAATCAAATTTTAGAAATTCTCTGATCACAAATAAACCCAGATGGCATTAGGGAATATTATTCAGAAGGTATGATACGAATTTCTGACCATCACACTTAAGGCGTATGAATCAAATTTGAGAAAATTCCATGATCACAAATAAACCCAAATGGCATGAGGAATATTATCCAAAAGGTATGATACGAATTTCTGACCATCACACTTGAGGCCTTGGCGCACGAGCCCGAAGAGCAGTTCACCGCAGAAGTCGCAGAAGGTGGGAGTCTTGTAGGAGTGCACGGAGAGGAAGTGAGGTCTGATCACTTCTTCGTCATTAGGGGGCACCACTGAGAAAAACACACACGCAATAGAGTTTAAAAATACTCAAAATATTGCGAAGGTTCAAAGTTTGAAAATTTTCCTCCTTGTAAAAAATTAGGAGGCCGCAAGAAATTAGAGGACATCACCGCAAACACCAAGCAACATAATTAGATAATACCCCTCTGAAACTGTGGACTTTTGTTAACTGTTTGGAAGTTTTCTGCCTGCACAACAATTCTTAATATTTCGTCTTTGGATAAAAAAAGGGTCACGCAATGAAAGGTTCCCACATCGAAAATCGAAATTGATTTATATCGTTAGATTCACAGTAATGAAAATTACAAGAATCGGTGACAGGCCAAACATGGTCAATTCATCTATTTCATCAGCGCCAACACTACTTACTACCTATAGGTACCTACTATACTTGGCTCGCAACAACAACAACACATTGATATAGTACATCCCGTACTCACGTCCAGACATGACAATCTCAACGAGCGAGTCTTGTTCGACTTCAGCAGCCGAGTTGAGGAGCTATCGTTCGGGCATAATTAATTAAAAGGATGTATATTAAAAATATACATTCTGTACTCACGTCCAGACATGACTATCTCGACGAGCGAGTCTTGCTCGACTTCAGGAGCCGAGTTTAGGAGCTATCGTTCGGGCATAATTAATTAAAGGATTTATATTAAAAATATACATTCTGTACTCACGTCCAGACATGACTATCTCGACGAGCGAGTCTTGTTCGACCTCAGCAGCAGAGTTGATCATCTGCAGGATGTTTGGTGTGTCGTAGACGTGGCGGAACAGCAGCAGCCGCTCGTTCAGTTTCGTCAGGCCGTGGTCAGCGAACTGCAATAACAACAAAATGTCTTAGAAAATGGGAATTCGTTCATAAAAGAAGTGTCTGATACCTTCAACCTAATGTCTTAGGAAATAGGAATTCGCTCCTAATTTTCGTTCTTAGTAATTCATTCAGTGTCTGATACCTTTAACCCAAACTCTCAAATCTAAAGCTCTTAAATCTAATATTCGGGAGGTGTTGGTAATAAGTAAAATTTTGAAGGCAATTTTGGTATATTAGTCAGCGTATTATGTATTCATATTATGTATTTACAGTACATGGGCTGAATTTACAGATTGATACAGTATTTAAATTTAGTTTAGAATTTCATAATCGCGTATATGTCAATTTCGAATAGTTCAGTTATATTTCAGTTAGAGGACTTGCAGAACATGGACGCAATTTAAAGTATGTCAAAACCTTCTATACACTGCGCGGGCGTTGTATATTTAAAAAGCTCCATTGATGAATGTTCAAATCATTCATGGTCAGTATTCTTATTTTTACTCTCAAAATAACTGTAATATAAGTCAGTTACGTTCATCAGTATTAAAGTTGCGATAGGATATAGTATCAAATGTCATATTTTCAACAACGATTAACTTTGTTGGGGTTTTAATAAGAGACATTTTATTTCAGAAATTATTAGGTTTACCGACAATAAAAACTGTTCACGTCAGCACTCTAGGAACGCTGTGTTAGTTCTGGTTTTGTGCGGAGTAGTGAAGGAGGCAGGTTTCTTGTACTAGTGAAGGAGTTTAAGTGTAACTATCATGTATAAATATTACTGAGAATAGATTTAATTGGAATATTGTTTTACTATGATTACGTTGTACATATTATATCATTGTTAGCAACCCTGTGATCATGTTTAGCATTCTATTGATTACTGAGAATAGATTTAATTGGAATGCTGTTATAATATGATTTCGTTGTACATAATGTGTCATTGTTAACAACCCGGTGATTATCTTTAACTTTCTATTGACTAGTTTTTGTTTGTATTTACAGGAAAGTTTAGAGCTAGAAACTTGGAGCATTAAAATGTTAACTAAAGTTGAGTTTAACTTCCTCTCATAACATGCATAAGGATTGGATTGAAGGACGATCACGAGCCAAATCTGATCACGGCTTGGGCCTATTGGGCTTTGGTGCGAGCCCACAGCATCTAGGCCTCCTGCGCGAAGTATTAGTAAATTCGGCTTTGGACTCAGGGACGCGGGATATGAAAGTTGCAGTAGCACACAGACCACAGAGATCAATAATGTGCAATAGCCTCGTGTTAATGACAAAGCGCAGCTCCCTCAAGCGCGGTTAAGACCAGGAGGTTAGTCGGACTCAACCTTAGTCGGAGCGCTCAGCGATGAAAATCAGGTTAACACCTCGCAAATTGCCGGTCATTAACCATCGTAGACAAGGAGAACGTTACTATGCAGGACACAGCTTATCATTACAACACTAAAGTATATCAAATCCTTTATCGCGGCTTATCTGATATGAATACTATTACGGTGACCGTATCCTGGACGCTTATATAAAAGGCATAACAGGAAAGTAGCAGAACGTCTTAAGTGAAGCTCAGCGTAAAAACACGGCGTAGACTGGATTTTGCTCAAGGTCAGATGGCTCAAAATATGAATACAATTGAGTACTAACCGAGTACTTGTCAGAATCGAGCACTCAGCTCTTAGAAAGCTACATATTCGATATAGAATAACCATAAGCCATAATAAGCAAACCAAATACATATATGAAAAACTCAAGATTGCAATACGCAACCATACAAAATATTAATTCAACCCCAGTTGATTTTTCTGGTAATCTAAAAATGCGTGATCATACTAACGGTTAATTTTTAACGTTGACGAGTTTTCTGGTTAGCCTCAAAATGCGCGAACTCGATTAATAATATAATAAGTTAATAGCTAACTTGAAGCGAGTTCTGGGAGCCTAAAATGTTCCACTAGACGCACGGATTCTCATCAACTACGTTCTATTTGACGGGATAAAAACAATCGACCTATGCCTACGGTGCATTGCAAAAAAACGCTCTCTTCCAAGAACACTAGGAAAAACAGCGGTGGTCCACTAGACGCACGGATTCTGACCAATTATGTTCCACTTGATGGGATAAAAACAATCGACCTATGCCTACGGTGCATTGCAAAAAAAATGCTCTCTTCCAAGAACACTAGGAAAAACAGCGGTGGTCCACTAGACGCACGGATTCTGACCAATTATGTTCCACTTGATGGGATAAAAACAATCGACCTATGCCTACGGTGCATTGCAAAAAAACGCTCTCTTCCAAGAACACTAGGAAAAACAGCGGTGGTGGTCATTGGGCAGCACAAAGAGTCGCCAGGATATTGATTGACGAGGAGAAGCTAACTCGGGGCAAAACTAAATAAGGTGGAGGAAACGACGGCACGCCTTCAATAAGTGCGAGGCTTAGGGCATTCACTTGTGATAACAGGCATTGATTACACGCAGCCTGTGATGTGATGAGCAGCATGTGATGTGATGAAGAGGATAGAACTGCATTGATTACACGCAGCGTGTGATGTGCTGAAGAGGATAGAACTGCATTGATTACATGCAGCGTGTGATGTGCTGAAGAGGATAGAACTGCATTGATTACATGCAGCGTGTGATGTGATGAAGAGGATAGAACTGCATTGATTACATGCAGCGTGTGATGTGATGAAGAGGATAGAACNACGATCTTTAATATGGTTCCGAAGAACTCATTTAAATAATAATTAATTTATTAGGCATCGGTCAGACCGTTCCGGAAAAATCGCGGTCCGTACTATCGAAAATATCCATCCACGGGTTGCAGCGCCGACGATCTTCAATGTGGTTCCAAAGAAGAACTAATTCAAATAATAATTAATTTATCAGGCATCAGCCCAACCGCTCCGAAAAAATCGCGGTCCGTACTATCGAAAATATCCACAACGAGTTGCAGAGCCGACGATCTAGGATATAATTCCGAAGAACTCATTCAAATAATAACTAATAATAATAATTAATTTTTTATCAGGCATCGGCCCGATCGCTCCGAAAAAAATCGCGGTCCGTACGATCGAAAACATGCAACAAGGGTTTCAGTGCCGACGATCTAGGATATTGGTTCCGAAGAACTCATTCCTAGAGGGTTTATTCATCGGCCCAACAGTTCCAGGAAAATCGTGGTCCATACAATCGAAAACAGTTACGGGTTCGTTACTCCTTCAGCCAATGGTTATGAAGTATTGCAAGTTGTTCGAGTAATATTCTTTTACCGACAAAAATTCATTTCAGCGCGATAATAAGCAGTGTATAAGACTCGTCCCAGGTACCTATTTGGAGTGCGGTATATAATCTGACGGCGAAATAATCAGCGCTCAGCCTAGTGATGAACGAGCTGACGGCTTTTCAATCTAATCACATCCATCGCAAACGAGAAATCAGTCGCCAATTATGCTGGTAGCGGCAGGCTACGTGTATTTATTACTATTTAATGGCCTTTTGGTACTACGAACCCGTGACAAATATTCACAGAAGACGCGTGTTTGTGATCGTTATAGTGTAACGGTAATATAATCTGAGCTGAGATTTTAACTTATTTGACAATACAGTTGGCTCAAACCACGAGACGCTGGAAAACATTAAAATTTCAACGAGAGAAAAAATAAGAACACTAATCTAACAGGGTCACTGAAAAGATGCAAAAAATCAAGAAGCGTGCAGAAACAACAATTTGCAGGCTATATCAAGCATAACCTACAGTTGATAGAAGAAAAATGCTTCAAAATATTAATAAAATATTTCAATAAATTACCTTTAGACAGCACTCTGCTCGAGCGAATGTATATATAAACTTTCTTCTACGCAAAGCGAAAACAAGAAGAAACTCGTAGAAAGAAAAACTAAAAATACAACCTTTTTGAAAAGAAGCAATTGCGCGAGCAAATAAATGGATTACGTGCTTCAGAGACGATAGCCCAATTGCAACCAAATAAAGGGGCCTGTTGATCGTGCCGGGGAATTGCTTATAACTCGAATGTATGGCCAGCTGAGACCTAAGTTCACTGAATTGTAGCTACAATAAACAGCAGGCTTGAGTGCCCACATCATCGAGAGAGAAGATTGCGACAACAAAACATAGAAATATATTCATCTCAGCTGAAATTTAATCATAAAATATTACAGCATAACGAGATATTTCAAGCATAGAACTATAAATCTCAACTTTCGATAACCTACGAAGCTCGAAAGAGTCAGCAACCACAGAATAAATTAAAATCCAGACATGCAATCTCAAATGAAGAAAAATATCTCAAAAGCAGCTGATATTTGGTCATTAAAAATTCATACGTGATCGCGGAAGTGAGCAGTGAACATTTCTATGGAGCAAACGAGTACCTGAGTGTGACGAAAGCTTCGTATCGCTTGAGGCCAAGCAAGCGAGCGAGCGAGCGCATCTAACCTTGACCGTCAAATACATGGCGAAATAATCAGCGCTCAGCCTAGTGATGAACAATCTACTACAACAAGAACCTATTTACTGGTTTTAGTGTTTATCTTAATTTGTCTCGGTTTGCAGGCAGACATTAAGCAGACTGATAAAAAACCTGTAACGTAAAATATAAGGTGCTATTCGATGTCATCGTGTCTAGCGTTACCCAGGCGCATGATTTTGCTGGCATTTTTTCATAATCTAAAACTTTAATTAAAAAAATTACTGTGGAGCAACACGGCAATACGAACAGTTTTATAGAATAAAACCTTAATTTATCAAAGTCCGCTTCCAAACAACAAGTCCGCTACATTTATCATTTATTTATCAAAGTCCGCTTCAAACGAACGTATCAAACGAACGGCAGTAAAACCGTTAACATAACAATGGATAATATAACATCATGAACCGTGGAAGAATGGAACATTGTAGCCCCAAAATATACATAATATATAAACGCACTCATATAAGCCTCAAAATGAATGTGTATTGGAGTTGACAATT